GGGGATTGAACTCAGGCCTTTGCGCTTGCCAGGCAAGCACTTATTCTACTGAGCTATCTCCCTGGCCCTAATTTATTTAAATCTTTGCCAACCTAATAGATAAAAAATTACTGCCTCATTGCATTGAAAGTTTTGTGTTTATTACCCAATTGAATATACTTTAATATCCAGTATATTTTAATGAATGGGCACTCAGGTCTAACATAAAAAATCTTTTTCTCGCTCTGCTAATTTTTCCATTGCTAGTTATTTTTTCTAGTTGATTTATAAATGAAATAACTGCCAACACATTCATATTATTTTAATATGTACTTAAATATTTTTCTCTAACATCCTTCAGAAATATCCTTCAGATTTTATGGGCTTATGTGCTTTACTTAGTACACAAAGTATACTTTTAAGTTGTCAAATCTGTCAATCTTTTGTTTTTCATTGAAGGGAGTAACAGCTGCTATCCAGGTAAAATCCAGAGTCTTTAATCTACATTCAATCTACTATGTTCTATTCTCATTATATCAAACCAAATTCATCTCCCACAATTCCTAAAGGTAAACTTTCTGCTCTGCTAAACAGTCTTGCATATTTTTCAGTGATGTGCTCTGAAATATGATAGAGAATCAAGTTAGCATTCTAAATCAATGATTTGCCAAAAGTATGAAAAGCATTCCCCACCCCCCCCTTTGGTACTCAAGAAAAACTTAGGACCTTATGCTTGCCAGGCAGGCACTTATGGCACTGAGCTATCTCCCCAGCCAAAAATGCAATTTGTGAGGCTTGACTTCTTCATATTTAAGGTCAGGACTTGTGTGAAGTCAAACTGCGTAGTGAATAAGAGTGTTCAACATATAGTGAGCGCTTAATAAATGTTGGTTCTCCAATCATCTTCCTGTTTTTGGTCATGCTGAGTCCTCTCTCTGGGATACTCTCTTTTTTTTCACTTTAGAATATTTTGCTCAGTTTTGTCTGCTTCATAAGGGCTTCTAAAAAATAGGGAGCTTACCCATGCAACTTACTCAGTTTGAGAGTCTATATACTTTCAGGAATGTTTAATGAGCTATATATTACAGGAATGTAATGTAAGCTTCAGAAAGGCCTGGCCCATTGCTAACATTTAAATACATCAAAGTGTACTCAAGGGAGGTATAAATAAATAAGTAACAGGTGCATGGGACATAACAGAAAAGATAACATTAATTGAGAAATTGCATTTGAAGACATAACTGACATAGTAAAGCTAGCAATATAACCTGCATTACACCATTGAACATTCTAATAATTCAATATACCATTGAAATATACCAATGGAATATGTCATTCCTAACAGTTAAGTAATTCTATTTCTCAATTTTAAGAAGCATTTAATCTCATCTTTTAAATTCTCTCAAACTAAGATATGTCTTCATATCAAATAAATAGCCACTGGTCAAGTGACAATGACAGAGTTGGCAGGCCTTAGTATTTGTGATCATGGTAATAACTATTGTCATTGCTTCTGTTAGGTCAAAGATACCTACTAAGAAATGCAGTTAAGGACAGAACAAGTTGACACATGCCAGGTAGGGAGTAATAAATTTCATTTTGTTTATTTTTTGTACTAGGAATTGAACTTAGGACATTACTCTTGCCAGGCAGGAGCTTGTGCCATTGAGCTATATCCTGAATCCCTGAGATAGAAATTCCAAAGCAGTAAGAGTCAACAGAGCAAGAACATAACTATCTTGTGTGTCACATAGGACTTAGAGGCAAAACATGAAACTGTGATTTTTCAGAAATTTCTTTCTTGTTATTAATGAAAAAACTGCATAGCTTGTTGAAAAATTGAACAAGAAAACTTTTTTAGTCAAGATAGTTGACAGCATTGAATCTGCAGAATTATTGTCAGTCTTTGAGAAGAAAATTCCAGGCACAAGACACAATATATTTTAAGAAATGATATATTATCAATGATATTGTGGGGGGAAACACGCTCTTCGTGAAAAACTAGGCTCTGAAGAATTAGGCTTGATATGCAAATTTTATTTATTTATTTTTTTTTTTGCGGTATCGGAGATTGAACTCAGGACCCTGCTCTTGCCAGGCAAGCACTTATTCTACTGAGCTATCTCCCTGGTCCTCAAAACTTTAATCAATTTATTCTGCTGAAATTTTACTTTTTATGTATATGTTATTAAAATGTCTAAGTCTAAAAGTGTTCTTTTAGCAAATATAAAGTACAATTATGTGATATTATATTTGTAATAGTTTAATTAGTAGTTCTTTTCCTTTTTTGGTAGTAAATGCAATTGGAGATGCTTGAGACTTGACAATATATGAAAAACATGAATAAAGACTAAAACACAGGTTGTGAGTCTCCAAACTTTAGTGGTAGAAGGTGTTTCATTGTATTGTTTTGGTGGCATTATGTTGTTGCTAAGGAATGAAGCAAGCAGGTCCAGTGATTTTTTTCATAAACAAATTACATTTCTATAGAACCAACATGATTTAGAGAAGCTTCTTGTATTATCTCTTAGTTTTAAAACTCAAGTCATGGATTACATCCTATGTAGGTAAACAGTGCATAGGTCAGTAGCGAAGCACTTTTAAAATTAAAGCTATATTTTTTACAATGCAAGAGTAATATGTGTTGATATAGAAAATGCCTTATATTTTTAAATGTTCAAGTATGAATACATAATCAGTCATATTTCTTCCAACCAATATTTAACAAATTTCTTTTGAAAGGCTTTTCTTGAAAATGTTTTGACACCTGCTTAGGCGAGCGCAGGGACTGGGGTCGGATCCCCAACACCACAGGTCGCACCCTGGGCCTGGCCCTGGGGCACAATGAGCCAGGCACCAACTCCAGGCATGTTGGCGCACACCTGTAATCCCAGCACGGGAAGTTGAAAGCAGGAGATCACTTCTATTCCAAGCTACACAGTGAGATACTGTACCAAATACATTTTTTTTAAAAGGAAAAAAAGAAAGAAAGAAAGAAAGAAAGAAAGAAAGAAAGAAAGAAAGAAAGAAAGAAAGAAAAAGAAAGAAGGAAAGAAAATGTTTTGATGTCATTTCTTTTTTGGCATACAAAACTATCTCAGAGCAAAGCAAAGCAATATGCCATCACTACAGTTTTGGTGACTAGAAAAATATAGAGATGAAACACATCATCTGTTATTTCAACATGCAGAAATTGCTTCTTTGTATTTTGGGCCATTGCATCCAATGTATCTAGAGCAAAAGCCAGCTGCAAAGCTTTCATGCAGGATGCACACTACATTTCTGCTCAAGGGGAATGCTACAGAGAACTTGGAGAAGGGCCCTATGTCTTGCTAATACTAGCAATGATACAGATGTGATGTTTAAAATCACTTATCTCAAGTTTGTCATATAATTCTCACACAAGAGTTTGGTGAGGACACCAACTTTCTACTCTTTGGTAACAGAGCACTAAAGGAAGAAATGGTCTTTCTCCTCACTGGATTCCTCTTATTCATCCATTACTAGCTTATTCAACAAATATCTGTTACATGTCCACTATGTTCCTGGAATACACAGGGAAAACAAACATGACCTTTGCCCTCTTGCAAGGCAAAGAAGGTGGAAAGAGAGAATGAACATAAACACATGTGCAATATACATTGAAGAGTTTTTGTAGGTGTAGAAAAGGAAGACAACAAGTGGCTAGAAAAATAAAGGCAATGGTCTAAAGCAGGTGGGGTCAGGAAGGCCTGTAACAAGTGAGAAGTCAAGAAGGGACCTAAGCAAAGGTTCAGAAGCAGCCAAATGTAGGGGAGTGAGGGTGACTGGCCAGGCCAAGCCAAGGTCAAGCAACCTATGCAAAAGATTTTGAATTTTATTTAATGCACTACAGCCTTATTTATGCATGGAATTCAAATTTTATTCAGTGGATAGCTGGGAATCATTTTCTGTGTGTGTGTGTGTGTTTCAAAGTGCATTAACTTTTACTTGGTAACATTCAAGAATTAAAGCATGCAGGATCCAAAGATTACTCAAGGAAAATTCTCCTTCCTTCCGTTTCCTGACCACCAAGCTCTCCTCCGCTCAGCTGCCACTGTGTCTCCCTCCGGAAATATTCTAGTCCCAAACAGGCAAGTCTATTTGTAACATTTTAAACATCAGAGTGCATAAGAGGCGTGCTGTAACCGCCGAACCCTGAGGCCCGGCCCGTGCACTTCGCACACTAGGGCACCTCCAGCTCAGGGAGGCGGGGCGCGAACCCGGGCTGCCTCCCACGCCGCGCTCCGGCCACAACCCCGTCCTATCGCTGGTCCCGCCGCCGCCAGCCCTACCCTCCGCGGGCTCTGCCCAAGCTCAGGTGGGCGCGGTGTCTCACTGGAGCAGAGGCGTGGCGCAGGAAGACAGGGGCTCCCGGCTGGTCGCGACCCTGGCGCGTCCTCGGGCTGCCAAGTGGGGCGGGCCCGGGGGCGGGGCCAAGGCGGGGGCGGAGCCGGCCCGGCGGGCGGGTGCAACATTCTCCTGAGCTGTAGCCGCGGCGCCTGGATCCCAGACCCGGGCCACCCACGGGGCGTTGTGAGCTCCTAGGCCCTGGGCGGCTAAGGTGAATCGGCCCGCGAGCCGAACAGCTGGAGCTCCAGGGGATCCCCCGCGGGGGCTGCCGGCCGGATGGCGGCGGAGGGAGGCGTCCCGCGGCGAGTTTCCCGAGAAAGCTGAACTCGTCCCAAGTTCGCCGTGCCTCGGCTTGAACCCAGCGAGTTGGTGGCGGGCTGTTTGCGTGTGTGTGGTCGTTCAGCGCGGGAGCGGCGCGAAGGTGGTTGTATTAATCCGCCTGGGAAGCAGCCCAAATCTCTGCCCGGATCCCGCGCCGCGTGGGGCGCAGTTTCTCGCCCGAGAAAGGGCGGGTGAGTGGCGCTCCGTGGCGTCCCGCGCAACCGCGGGTGACCACGGGGCTCTCCGCTAGTGAGTCGGCAAGACCTGCGCAGCTGTTCGGAGAAAGGTGCCATAACTTCTTTTCTAGGCAAAATTAGTGAGTTCCAACCTTAGGGGCTGACCCGAGGCCCCGCTATGGACGGCGAGAGCGAAGTAGATTTTTCTAGCAACAGATTAATCCCTTTATGGCGGAGGCGGTCGACCCCTGATCCCCAGCTGCTGGGCCGGAGCAAACCGAGGCCCCAGTCCTACCAGAGCCCCAGCGGGTTGCTGATCACAGATTTCCCGGTGGAGGACCTGGGGACGCTGCCTGCCGCGCAGACTGCCACCCAGCTGCCCACCTCGTCGGATGGCAGGACAGTGCAGAGGAGCCCGCTCCTCCTTTGTACCCATCGAGGGGCGGTCACCAATGGGCGGACGATCTCCGCGGAATACAGAGCTGCTTCTCCTCGACCCCGACGGTCCAAGTCACCGCAAGTCCCCAAAATAATATCGGGAGGCTCCCCGAAGTCCCCGGCGAATGGCACGGTGACCTCTCCGGCCCCGCAGCCACCGCTGCGTATCCCGCGGACTCCTTCGTCTCCCGCGCCCTGCAGCCCCGAGAACCTCACTGGAGTTACTGCCAACCGGGTGCTTTCACCCACCATCAACGGTCTGGCCTGTAAAATCGATTCCTCTGGCTCCAGTTCTCAGACTGCACAGACGGCTAAGGACTCAGAACGGGGGCCCTCGGGACTCTCTAATGCGCTCCCGAAAAGGTCTTCAGAACAAAACCTCCCCCTCCAAAGGCTGCCCTCACAGGAGAACGAACTGCCCGAAAATCCGTCTGTGGTTTTGAGTACAAACAGCCCTGCTGCCCTCAAAGTTGGGAAGCAGCAGATCATTCCGAAGAGCCTAGCCTCAGAAATTAAATTAAGTAAACCGAACAGTCAGAATGTGGAGCCCCACAAGAGACTCCTCAAAGTGCGCAGCATGGTAGAGGGCTTTGGAGCACCCCTGGGTCAGGCAGGGGATGACCGGGACGTGGACAATGATGTGGATAGCCCCGGGTCTCTGCGGCGAGGCTTGCGGTCCACATCCTATCGTAGGGCTGTGGTCAGTGGTTTTGATTTTGACAGCCCTAACAGCACAAAGCAGAAGAACAGGATGTCTCAGCCTGTCCTGAAAGCAGTGATGGAAGACAAGGAAAAGTTTTCCAGCCTGGGAAGAATAAAGGTAAGAGTGGGCAGAGTAGCTCTCCCGATTCAGTAAGCCAAAAGTGAATGAATGTGTTGGGAGAGGGGAGGAGCAACATAGAAAATCAGAAATAGTTACTCACTTTTACTTCTGTGTCTACTGTTGATTCCTGGGCACAACTGTGCTTGGTCATTCTGTGGATGCCAGGCACCTCCGAGTTCAGAGCAACTTATAGACGGAAGTGAAACTCATATCATTTTAAACTTTATAAGCTCTGGTAAAATTTGGAGTACAAATGATAAAAAAAGTTTTGCAAATTAAGTTTTGGCTAGAAAGTCCTGGGCACTTTTAACACAGAGCTGAAAGGAGGTGGGGAGCGCGCCTAGACTTGCACTGGCCACTGTGGGCCAAGTCCACAGGGGTTTATTTAGAAATGTCTGTAGTAGTTTTATCATAGCTGATATAGAAAAATACTGCCTCCCCATTGATTCTTTTGCTTATTAATTGTGTTTTCAATGGTGATCACACACTTGATATCATTCAGGTAAAATGTGAATTTTAAAGTCAATCATCATAATCATGAAAGACAGATTAATATAAATATTGTTTGTTTTTGTTACCATGACCTTTGTATGTTATTCCCATTTTATGCACTTAACAAATTTGTAGCATGAACCTATAGGATAGGATGGTATCATTTGCTCACAAAAGGCCTCAGAACTGAATTTGCTAAAATATTGTCAAGACGCAAGAAAACAGGGAACACACAGAACACTGAAGGGCAGCTTTAGAGTATGTGCCACCTTCCCAGAAACAAGGCAGATCCTAGCAAGAGCGTGAAGAGTCTTTTGGCAATTATATTTTTTCTTGATTAATCAGAGAACTGGAGTCACATGTGTAATACACAAACTTGTTTTATTCTAGAGCTGATGGTCTGAAATAAAAGACATTATGTAATTTTTTATTTATTTATTTTTTTAACTCTTGAGTATAGCAGAGTTCAGTTTAACACTGATGATGAGTCGCAGGTCCTGAAATGAGCTGAACTGCTGGTCATCTGAGAAGTCTGCTGTGATGGAGTGCTGGGGACACTGTACACTTTATTTCAGTTTCAGTAACTTGCAGTGGTTATATGAGTGCATTGCTCCGCGAAGTATCTGCTGTGTGCTTTTAGAAACCTAATGAATGTAACAACTCAAAAAGTACTTTTACTTATAGTACCTGTATTTTCTATTTGGCTCATTCACACAGTTTGCTTTGGTTTTTCCCCTTTTGCTCTTCTTGTCTCTTAGAAAAAAATGCTGAAAGGACAAGGAACATTTGACGGGGAAGGTAAGCATTTAATTTTCCAGACTTTTATTGCTATATCAATGTGGAATATCAATTATAAGTTGAAATCCAATTGCAGTAACAAAAATACTAGAAATGACAAATATGTCTTTGATTATAAGGGCAAAGCTGTTCTCTAAGCAAAATTTTTATTAAGTAAAACCAATAATGAAGAAAATCAGTGGTGTTTTTCATAAGCTAAAATTTTTTTCAATTAATATCCTGGGATCCTGGGATTTTTAATTTTCCTCTGCTTTGGCTTCATCCTATCTCCCTCAAAAAGGAGAAAAATGTAAGAGCATCTTTAGCTTTTCTGTTACAAACTCGGAAGCTGGAGTTTAGATCTCATTTTTCCTTCGGTTACATTTCCTTTGGTTAGTAGTCTTTTCCCACATTTCCAAATTGTATTTTCATTTCTGACTTCCTGTTTCCTTACTAAGTTTCAGCTTTAGGGAAGCATAACTTTCTTGGCTGGTAAAGACATCCTCGTAAGAATTGGTAAACCATGTAGTACTTTTGTCAAGGATTTCAAAAACAAAAGCAGCTTCAACCAGGTGTTCAGACCCTAATCAGATTAGTGGACTTGCTGTAAATACATGGGTCAAGTGTCACCCTATTGGAAGAGCTTGAAAGGAGCAGCCCCCGCTCTGGCCCTCATAAGGCTTAAGGTTCGTGGGGCTGAGAAGGGTGCTTCTTCTCACACTTTGAAGTGCTGAAATTTTCCAACTTTCAGTGAATGGTGAAGAAGACAGGCATGTAATTTTATAACTAAATGTAATATAAAACTACTGAGAATAATAAAGTATTGTCACTTTGGGTGATTACAAAAACTTGCTTATATGATTTTTATAAAAATGAGTTTGTCGTTGGATCATTTTTTAAATGACTAATTCAAAAAAATTCGTTCATTTTACCAATCCTAGTAAACAATGCCATATGCAGAAGTAACCCAAATATAGTATTTTATTTAGTTAGGGTAATTTCATCTCCCTGATTTTATAACTGAGGAAATAGAAAAGTTTGAGCATCTGTGTAATTTGTTCCCTCTTACACAGTTGGTGACACAGCCAGTTACACAGGATGCAGGCCTACTCATCAGTCTACTTTCCTGCTTCCCCATAAGTATGAATTCAGGAGAACCTCTATGTAGTACCTATTTTGCATTCTTGGAATTTAATATTAATTCTTTGACTTGCCTGAGAGGGTTAAGGTTTTTTGGTACTGAGGATCAAACCTAGGGATGCTTTTATCACTGAGCTACATCCTCAGACCTTTTTAATTTTTAATTTTCAGACCTTTTTAATTTTCAGGTTGCTCTGTTGGGACTTGAATTTGCAATCCCCACATCTCCCAGAATTCTGGCATTGCGTGTGTGCACCACCATGCCCAAGGCTTAAAATACTTTAGAAAAAGTTTAAATTAACTTTTAAGGAAGATCTTACAATAGCTAGTTTTATGTCATTTCCTTTTATAAAGAGCTGCTCTTGTGTATTTTATCTTGTCTTATACATGATGACCTAGAATCCTTTTTTTCACATGTATGTTGTGAAAAATGTAGGATTCTTCACAGTTAATGATTATCAAGAAGGCACCTCAGGAAGCACTGCAGCCCAGAGGTAGGCACCTGGGATGCTCAGTTTCTGTCCTGCTGCTTCTGCTTATCAGTTGAGAGATACGAGGGAGAACTTTAACCTGAGGCCCAGTTGTCATCATGTGAGACAAAGGCTGTGATGCCCATGCCTTTGTCGGACTGGAGAGAAGTCCAAACAGTGCTAGGTGTGTACTTTATCCCAGCCACTAAGTACTGCTTGGATGGTGGAAACTCAGAGTACTTACCTGTTTCTCATACCCAGAACAGACAATGGGAAAATTTTATATAGATTTCAGTGTTATTGTAGCTTGCTTGCATACAGAATTATTTAGATTTGATGAGAGAACAGGTATGAGTTTGCTTCTTTTAATAGATGAAAAGTGTTTCAAACTGCATATGTCTCAAACCAAAATCATTATCTTCCACAGTAAGCTTTTATCTCTTCTGATGTTCCATCTTTCACATTCCACTTGTGGGACTAGAAGACCTGGGAAATATCCAAACACCTTTCTCTGCTTTGTATCTAGTCTGTCACCAGTCAATTCGTGCTAGGTTGCATAGCCCAGATCGTATTGGCTTCCCTAGTAGCATCCTAAATGAGTCTCCTAGGTGGTCAGTGTTTCCTTGCAGAGGACCCCCTATTGCATTCAGGATGAAATACAATTTCAGCATGAAAGAAACTCAGTTTTTTTGAGTTCAGAGAAAAATCCAGGGGTTTTTTTGTATGGTACTGGCAATCAAACTCCGGACCTTATGCTTGCCAGGCAGACGCTAATCCACTGAACTATATTCCTGGCCTTGAAAAAATCCAGTTTGTGACATGCCCCATAAGACTCCGCTTGATGAAAACTGTTTGGCTCATCTTTTTAAACCCATCTTGTACTTTTTGACCACTAGAAAGACCTGCCCAAACCAGCTACATTGACTTGCCGTAGTTCTCCTAAGGTATAGCATTTCCTCTGGTTTCAAAGGTTGTACATGTGTGTTTTCCTTTAGCTCTAGCATGTCTCCTTCAAATCTCAGATTTTCCTCATGGAAACCTTTTTGACACCTGGACTAGATACTCTGCTGTTCTATTCTCAGGGCACCTGTGTGTAAATCCTTCCATTTGGAGGTATGCAGTTGTGTAAGTTCAGTGTGCTCGCAACGCTCAAGTGACTTATCATTGCACTTGGAATCAAAATCAAAGTCCTTTCCAGGATATGTACGTGATCTGCCGGCTACTTTCCCTCTCTCTCCAGTACTTTGGCCCTGCCCTCATCGTACTTGGCCACTCTGACCTCCTTGCTATTCCTTTTACATACAGTGATATCAAGCGAGTCCTGCCTTCAGGTCCTTGTACTTGCTGCCGTCTCTGATGACATGCTTTACTCCTAACTGCTTTCTCACATAAAGTTGGTTAAGATATCACTTCTGTGAGACTTCTTACACCTTTAAAATCCTTTTTAAAATCCACATACTCATCTCCCAGCATTCCCACCCCCCTTCGAGGTTCTGTTTTTCTTCATGATACATATCCATAATTGAAAGTACTATAGAAGTTGCTAGTTTATTTATTGAAGTTCTCTCTAACTTTAAGGTCAGCTCTATGAAGAGATTGGGCTTTTACAAGTCTCTTTGATCTATCCTTACAGTCCCAGTGCCTAGCAGCTGCTGGCATCTAGTAGGCATTTTCTAGATGCCAGTTGACTGAATAAATACATGAATGAATTTGACTGTCCCAAACGTCAGCACATGAAGAAATGAGAGATGTCTTTGTTTTCTGTTTGTTTGGATTTTTTGTTAAATCAGACTCTGGCACTTTGTAGATGTACAATGCATGTTTGCTAAGGAGATAAATGAGTGGTGATGAACCTTGAAGGAAGTGCAGCATCCGAATTCAGTTTAACCAAGATAACAATGATTTAAGATTTCCCACTATTCTTTGTGAATGGTGGACATAGACAGAAAAACTTTGCTTTAGCTAAAACATCATGTATTATTCTTGAATAAGAGTCTCTTTTTGTGTTAATTATACCAGAGTCTATAGAATATATAAATGTGGAATTTAGAAGTAGTGTAGGCATTGTGGGTAATTAGTGATATATTAGGCTTTTTAAAATTTTCTTGCAGAAAATGCAGTCCTATATCAAAACTACAAAGAAAAGGCCCTTGACATTGACTCTGATGAAGACTCGGAGTTCAAAGAACAGAAGTCAGAGGAGAAAATTGTGATTCACCCCAGGCCTCTGCGATCCACGTGGAGCCAGCTCTCTGCAGTGAGTGTTTCCTTTCTTTTCTAACCAGTAAAGACTAACTTGTGGAAATTGTATATGGATGTGGCTTTGGTTTTTTTTCTCCCAATAATACTGCAATCCAAAGGAGAATGTTTTCTTTTCAGATTATGAAATGCTTATCAGAACGCTAATAACATGAACTTTGACACCAAACAAATTAGGTTTTGATAAAATTAAGTTCCTTGAGACTGTTGTGCTATGGACTCTGGTAGTCCTTACTGAGTGTTTCCTTTAACTTATATAGTATATCTATAGTATTAATATATCTCAAGCTTTATCATAATTTGCTACATATGCAAGTATATTAATTTGTATATAAATATGCATATATTGAGACGTACGTAGTAGGGAGCTTTTTACCATCTTTTGTGGACATTTCATTTGACATAGATATATTCATGTTTTCTTGATATTAACTGATGAATATTCCATCTCTGTCTTGTGTGTGTGTGTCTGACACCTATTTTTGTATTAATAAATTTCTCCTTTCTGCATCAAACATTTCTTTAGTCATAATTTATTTTCCTCCTGGCTTACAATATATCACAGGCAGAGGCTGAGCATAGCATCTGTAGATATCTAAGGCATTACCAAGTTGAAAGGAATTCCCATGACTGGCTTGAGTAGTGGGAACATTGTGCTGAAGCAGGCCAGTACACCTCCAGGAGTCCTTAGGCAATACTGGAGCAGAGGCAGTTTCCTTTTGAACTACAGAGAGCATTGTTTAGAGTTAGGAATTTCATGTGTTATTGTTCCTCACCAGTGTAGCAAAAGGAGCTGTGTATGTTGGGCTTGGAAGTGTGTGTGTGTGTGTGTGTGTGTGTGTGTGTTTTAATGTGGGGATGACTTCTGATTCATATATACCTCTTCTATTCTAACCTATGTGGAAATTCAGAATTCTAGAAACAAAGTCCTTTGTTCCTGTCTTGTTCCACTCCAAATTTGGTCCTAAGGAGAATGTATTTATTTTTAGTGCCTCCATGGTATGAGTCCTCTTAGTGCTATGTAATAAATGATATTGCCTATGGTGGCAGGGCAAGTGGTGTGAATATGTAATGTTCTCATGTGTTGGTTATGGGGGCTTGTGGTGGTTGTGATGGACAGACTTTTGATAAACTGAGGAGTGGACCAGGAGTATAGCTCAGTGGCACAGTGTGTTCTTGGCAAACGTGAGGCCCTGAGTTCAATTCCCAGTACCAAAAAAAATTTTTTTTGTTTTAAATTGAGGAGTTACTACTTAGCTCTAACAAGTACAAGGAAGGACTCAATGTTGATAGATTGGTCTTCTGGTGTAGAAATCTAGACTATGATTTGTCTTGCTGAATTCAAGTTTTAAAGAAATGTGTGAATTCAGCAAAACATCTATGAGCCAGACTTGGTTCTTGTGCTAACTTTGCAGTTTCTGTGATATTTTTATGACTTTGTTGGATGTGGCAAGCTGGTAACACCTTTGCACAGAGTTGATGTATTGGCAGCCTTATACCCTAATCTAATGTCTCGTGTATATTTCTTAAAACAGATACTTTAAAAAACCTAGTGACAAGGTTCATTGAGGCCATATTGACTCTAAGTGACTATCATTTGATTTGTGCGGTTGTTGTTATGGACATTTGTTAGAGGATCTGAGAAAAGAAAGCTATGTGTTGGGGCGGGGGGTGTCTTTCTGTGGCAGCAGCTGTGTTTGTTAGCACAGGCCTGAGTCTTTCTGTTAGCCTTTGAACATTCGGCAGAAATGCGGATGACTGTGTCAGTTAAACAGTGGTCCAACTTAGCCTCACAGCACTAAAAATCAGGCTGCCATATTTGCGCCTTCTGCAGTTTGGCTTTCATAGATGAACAAATACATGTGTAGTTAAATAATAGTGCATGTCCTTCAGGACAGCTTCAGATATAGGCTTGTATTTTTATTTGACGAAGGATATTTTGATGTGTCTTCTGGTAGCAAGAGAGATATTAGAGAACTAATAAAATAACTGTAAAATGAGTTCTAACTTCAATGTGTGTCATCTTAGTCTCCTGGGTTCCCCCAAGGCTTGTGTGTGTCTTTTGCGTCGCTTGGTAGTTGCATGTAATCAGAGTAGCACGATTGAACTTTGCCACTTTGCATTGCTTAAATCTCAACTTGGATTTTCTTTTTACTGTTTGTATCCCTTTTCTACTTAAAATGTCCCTTTATTTTATTATAAAGCACTTCAGATATGGGGAAAAGTAACAACAAAAAAGTAAAGGTAATAGATCTCAATATAGCCACCAACTCAGACTAAATAAATGGTAACAATTAACATGCTTGCTTCAGCTTCTGTTTTTTAGGCTAATCCAGTTCAGCACCTGAAGCTCTCCTGTTCTTTCTTTCCTCTTCCCTCTTCCCTCTCTAGAGGTAGACCCTATGCTAAAGCTCTCTTCTGTTCTTGTATGTGGGTTTTCTACTCATCAAAAAGATGCAACTTGCTCTAATTTTTAGAAAAGTACATATAATAGTGCCAAAAAGCAGCTATTGATTTTTAGAAGCCTATATTTTCATAAAATGTCCAAATTGCACTTAGGACCCTAGAAAGAGGAGGCTTTAGAAACGATTATGTCAGGATGTTTCTTATAAGTAATTAGCATTTCTGTTGCTCTGGCAGACTCATGGCCTGGTCCTGCCTTATAGAGGAACTACAGAATTGAGGACTCATCTTGAAATATTTCTTCTATTAATACTTTTTTTTTTTGCATCATCCTTCCTTTCTTAACTTTTCATATATCAAAGTAATGGGACAACCCCACATAATCTTGTACGTGTGACTTTAATGCAAAACTCTGCTGTAAGTAAGGCCTGAATGCCAGAAAAAAATAAGACAAGAGGCCTTCTGACATGGGTTGGGCCTCGGTTTGACACACCTCTTGACTTTCTCCTTAGGAGGGAATGTGTGAGAGCATGTTTGGTTAGCTGTCCATTGTTTCATTCTCTGAAAATCCTTATCTTTGTTGCATACACCTGCCTACCTGCTGTGTTCATGAAACTTCCTTATCAGTTGACTATAAAAAGCATTCATTATGCCAAAGACTTTTTGATGTACTGCAATTTGCAGTAATTTATGGTTGTTACATAAGACCTTTAAGCTTTCATTCTGTAGAATAATTTATCTGATTATATTTGTTTATATGTCTCTTGGTTTCATTGCACAGTGCAGGGTAGGACAGTGCTCAGCTACACAAGTGACAGGTGGTTTGCACTTACAGTGCAGAATCAGGTTTAAGTGTATTGTGATCATCTAAGACAAAAATGGGCAAGACTATGTAAGAGAGACATTTCATTGGGATTGAATAGAATAATAAACATTTAGGCTACCATGGACTTCACTAGTAGATTTAAGGCAAATTAAGAGTGACTATGTAGTAGTGGTGCCTCTGCCACCAGGTCCCTCAGGGAGAGATGGAATGTTCTCACAGTCAGGATGCAACCCGGGCTTCTTCATCTCATAGGATGAGGACAAGCGTTTTCTTTGTTCACTTGATTGTGAGAGTATGTAGATCTATTCTAATTGATAAAACAGATTTTCTTCTCTCCAGGGAGTATAACTTTAAGCTGTGCTTCCGGCCTCCATGAGCCCATGAACACACATACATGTGAAATAGCTTAAGTAGGAATGATTCCCAGTTTGAGGTTGGTTATACGTGGAAGGGGTATGAGGTTTTGAAACTGAGTTGTTTCTGACCTCTAAAAATGATTACCTGGTACCGTGCCCAGAGACAAGGAACCTGGTGCACACAGGTGAATTATGCAGTGACTCACCTAAATTGGCAGCCTGAGGAGTAAGCCAACAATTCTTAGATCTCTGGGAAAAGCTTGTGGGTTTGAAGAATAATATTGATTGTGTTATATAGAACACTACCTACTTGTTACAGTTAGTGCCAGGTGTGTAGCCAGCTGAGTCCTAAAGGAAAACTGAGCTTCAGGTTTGTCCAGAAGATCCATCCTCTCTTAGGATCCCAGAATTCTTCCTGTTTCTTCTAGATGTATTTTTCCTAGAGTTTTTTGTTGTTGTTGTTTTACTTTGTTTGTTTTTTTCATCTTAACTCTCCTCTTTCAACACATACAGCACTGCTCCCATACTGAGAAATGACTATTGGAAAACCAGTGTTTGTTTTGCTAAGTTCTGTGACACTTGCTAGCTGTGCCCTGACTCCATTTATTTGTCATGGGGCGTGTTTGTGAAATTTCTGTCACCTTGCAATACCAGGCGAAAAGAGCATTCAGGCTCGAGCAGCAGAAGCTGAAGCATGCCGGCATATTTTCCACACCTAATATAGACATCCTTCACTGTTCTCTCCTTTGATCCTTGCCAACATGTGCTCTGAAATTGTTTTGAATTTCTTCAGTGTACTTACAGAGTTTAAGCTCTTAGGTCAGTTCTTACATCTGCATCAGAACTTGGCGCTTCTTGAGCTCCGTGTTGTGTGGCTTCTGGCATAACGTGAGACCCGGCAGTAAGACCCCATTCTCTTTGGTTCTGGGCTTGGCACGCAAGGCACATGCAGTTTGCCTTTGGGAGACTTTCTACAAGCTTCAGGATGTGAGTGGAAGATTGAAAAATAGAAATTTTATAAATATAATTTCATTCAATTGAAAATGACACGCTTTGGAGTGTAAATAGTTCTATCTGATGAGACTTTTTCTTTCAGAATTTATAGTGGATTTATTACGAAGCACACTATTTTCTGCTAACATTCAGAGCTCAACAAATGTAAAAACTTGAGTATCATTCTGTTTGCAGAAATGTTAATGGATTTAAAGAACACCGAAAGTTTTCATTATTTACTTTAAATTTTTACCAGTTACTCTGTGACTTTCTTTAAATTTTATTCAGTTACTCTGTGACTTGTTGCTGGAAATTGTAATTTCTCATTCATGGTTTTGCAACACAGCAGTCTCACAGTTTTCTATCTCAGCTGCTGAGAGCATGTCTTACTCTATCCTTTCTGTGTTTAGAACACAAAAA